TATTATCGATATTTGAAGACATTGCTAGTTAAAGATAAAATTGATTTCTCCGTTCGTCTGAATAAAATTTTAAGTTCTTGTGAAGTTGCTGTTTTTGCCGATAATCTTCATTATTTCTCGATAAATTTGACAATGACCATAAGATGTTACAGAAAGTTTAACTGGAGTCTTGACTACAGAACAATGAGATTTGATGTGGATCCATGGTTTGGTTTGAATTTTAGACAACACAGAGAGAGATGAGTACAATTTGAGTTCTGAATTCTGCTTTCATTAAAAAAGAACAACAATATATCATCTCATAATAATAATTAGTTAGATCGTTCACGTTCTGTTCCTGTGATAATGATACAATAGTCGTGTTATATGGTGTCTGGATAGGGCCATTTGCAAAAGCTCAACAGCGCGTTCAGAAAAACACGCCGTCACGCTAACAAACAACGCGCCATCGCGCTAACACATCATTGAACAACATGCCGTCACGCAAACACAAGTTCGCACAACACGCCGTCGCGCTAACGCACAACTCGCCGTCGCCCTATCACAAAGTTGTGTTAGCGAGTTGTGTGACAGCGTGTTGTGTGACAGCGCAACGGCGTGATGTGTAAAGTTGTGTTAGCGCAACAGCGTGTTGTTTGAAAGCGTGTTAGCGTGACGGCGTGTTGTGTATAAGCGCGATGACGTGTTTTGTATTACTGTGTTAGTGTGAAGACGTGTTGTGTGTTAGCGCGATGGCGTGTTTTTTCTGAACGCGCTGTTGAGCTTTTTCAAATGGCCCTATCCAGACACCATAGTGTTATCATACTACTAGCCTTACATCCAGTCAACAGAACCAACTAAATCAAACAAAATAATGCAGGTAAAATAATTTAAGATTTAATAAACTCTAGAATATATATCACAGATTAGCTTCAGAACTTTTCCAGAAACATGTAACAGTCAGACATATTAATCTTATTCCTGCGGAAAATCTTCCGAATTCTCTGCAACAGTCCAACTTTCTCAGTATCTTTGGTTTTTCTTTTTTTCTGAAAAATACATTTATCAAATATTTAAAAAGCAATTTTCATTTACAGATAAATCTTTCTAAATCAAATGGTTTATATTTTAAGTATTCGGGAACTTGAACTCACTGAGCAACAACATGCTCCACAAAGAAAAAGGCGCATCAGAGGGTGCCTCGTGAAATAATCGCTCTCTACGTCAGTTTCCGAGTTTGATTCCTGAATGTGGGATTCAATCATCTGTTACAAAGAAACATAATTCTTAATATGAAAATCTTACATAACAAAAATCATGCTATTTTTGAAAGACACTTGTTTTTGTTTGTTTGCTTGTTTTAAATAAACTTTTTTTTTAATGAAAACAAAATCACATCCATGTTGTGTTTGTTTTCTCCAAGATAAAAAACATTTTACTATATCAAACGGGAATTGGAACTAAGGGGAAAATTCTTCATTTTCTTACTTCCGTTGACAGAAAAGAAATCCTTGTATCGATAATCTCTAGTCCAAGTATATTCCTGTAACAAAGATCAAATGAGTTCATTTCAAAATTATCAATGAAAGCTATTGAATTATATCAAGTGGAAATAATATGCCACATCTTAAACTTTTTGTAAGTTAATATAACATACTTACATTGTTCGATTTTTGATGCTGCCTGTAGCACATTTAATAGTTTTCCCACCATCGGTATTGCATGCAGCAGTTTTGGCGGTTTGAGAGTCTGAGCTCTGTAATTAGACACAGGTAGGTTAATAAACATATTTTAAATCACTTAAATCATTTCACATCTTGTACCAAAGATTGAATTTAAACAAAATTATCTTACCTGTGACTCTTTGGGTATTGTTGTAGCACATTCTGTCCTACTTGATTGTGTCTCAGCTGTGCTTATCGCCAATGGTCTATCGTCTTCCTCCCATTCACGGGGAAGGTACTGAGCATGAATCTCACCAACTACAATTCCAGATTTGGCATCAAAGATGTGTACCAGTCTCTCCATACCCTGTATCACAGAACTGTCAATTCGGGATGCCTCGTCCGTTTTCTCAGGGGACGCATTACAGTTCGCTTCAGCCACTTGAATCTCCCTTTCTTTCAATGGCAATAAGTGAGAGTCTCTTTCTTTTTCAAAGATGTTTGTATCTGCTGTGTCCTTATAGTCTTGAGCTTCATTTGATAATTTTGGGTCACGGAAGTCTTTGGTTTCTTCTTTCAGAGGAAATGCAGGTATCTAAAAACAAGTTAAAACACAATAAGCATTCTATGGTCATAACGTTTATGAAAGACTAATGATATCAATATAACTATTGTTTGTAGTGTAACGTATTTATTTGTAATTTTTCTACCTTAGAATTGTCCAATTCTGCTGTAGAAGATCCCGCTGCTTCGACAACAGCACTCATCATGTTTGTCTCGCCAAGATGCTCCTGAGGCTCAGGGACATCTCCATTATTCTGAAATTCACGAATTATACTTTTATCATTCGTTTTCTGAGAGAAAGAGAGGCAGAGAAAGATTTTTTTCCAGGAACCTGTGTTATATTGTTATTATTATATCAAATTGCGCAGAATATGAACAATAATAATCAAATTTATTATAATATGTTGATGCTGATGTAAAAATACCTTTAACTTCTCTTCTTGTTCCACCATATCTGCCCAATTGTATGGGAAAGCTAATATTGCCAATTTGGCCTCCTGAAAAGGTACCGTAAAATTTATATGACATTGGCTATTATGCCCACAACGTACTGTGTGGAATCAAAATAAATTGAAATTTCTTTATGTGAAGTTAAATACACTTACCACACTAGTCACAGGGTCCTCTCCGAAATCCAAGATCTCGTTCTAAAAAATCAAGACATGGATCAGAAACTAGCTGGAACCATTACATGAAAAACTTTTTTACCAAAGTGGGTTTATATTATAGATATTCAAAAGCATTTTGGAGATTGAGTCATTCCTGTGAATTACTTTTGTCCCCTGATATTGCAGTCAATACTGACATCTTGAACTTTTTTTTTAAATAGGAGCATTTTTTTTTACATCGTTACTCACCTGATTTTGGGTATTCATTGTACTTCCAAGCACAGTTTTTTCTTTGATTAGATGACAACACTATTCCACCATTTGTTACCAACAAACTAGAGTTTACTGACGTCATAATAGCTATTGTGACGTTGCAATTGCCGTGACGAATATCCTGTTCTAAAATATTCTCTCCGAATTTTATCTCACAAGTTGTATTTGAAATTGCATTTTGTCAAGACTCTGTGCAATTTTCATGAAATTCAATCAATCCAATAAATCGAAATAAGTTATGATTCTTAAGATTCTTCGCTTCTTTTCATTATGCCATTAAAAACAAATGATTAGCGGGGGGAAACAATAAAAAAAAATTGTAATTTCATTTGGGGGGGGGGGGGGGGCTGAACACACAAGATTAGACTAAAAAAGTTTAGACGTAAATTTTGAAGGAAAAAAAATTACTGCGGGTTGTAAAAGAGTATTATTTTTTCTGCATAGTCATACTAAATATGTACAACTTGGGGCAGGACTGCGTTTTAGTTGACACACACTGTTGCCCTGAGGTGCATCAACTGATTAGGTTTGTCGATTTTAAGACTCTAGTTAAAATGTTTTGAAAATGAATAGCCGTAAAATAAGAAAGTAGGTCACTGTGACCCAGTTTTTGATTGACATGCACCAAGTAACATCAACTGACAAGGTTTAATGCTTCAAAGCTTCAGTGTCCAAAATATGCATCTCAAAGTTTGAGAGTGAATAGTTGCAAAATTCAAAAGGTACTGAAGTACTGTATGTCATAGAGACCTTTTAACATGATATTCCTAGTCTTCATAATGGACCAAAAAAAATTCTACCCAGTGATTCTTGAGATCTTTAACAACTACTTTTTTTTAGCTATAATTCCCAAATTGTCTCCCCTTGTTTAAGGTGTCATATAACTCAATTTTTATTATGAGTGAAATTAAGCCCTTCCCCCAAGGATTCTCAGTGACATGGCCATGACGTTCTTGTGATATGTACAACATTCCAAAAACAAGAGGCCCATGGGTCACAATGCTCACCTGAGTCACCAAAGCTCTTGTACTGTTTTTCATCAGGACATTTTCCCCTAAATATTCATATGTAAACTTTGATTGCCTATTATGGCCTCACCCTATCCCGAGGTTCATGATTTGAACAAACTTGAATCTACACAATGTAATGAAGCTTTCACATATGTGTCAACTATTCTGGCGAAGTGGTTCTTGGAAAGAAAAATTAAATTAAAAAAAATCCTATGAATTTCTAATGTGTAAAACTTTGATTGCCTATTATGGCCCCGCCCTAACCCTAGGGGTCATGATTTAAACAAATTTGAATCTTCACTACCTGAGAATACTTCTATATCAATATGACTAATCATGCAATTGGTTTTCTTGAGAAGATTCTAAAAGACTTTTTCCTGTATATTCCTATGTAAAAATTTGATTGCCTTTTGTGGCCCCACCCTACCCATAAACGTCATGATTTGAACTAACCTGAATTTATATGACCTGAGGAATTTTTCTAGACAAGTGGTTCTTAAAAAAAGATTTTTAAAAGATGCCATTAAAGTTTTATTAATTTGAAATTACCTCCCCTTGGATGAAGTTGTATCCCTTCATTTGAAAAACTTGAATCTTCATCACCCAAAGATACCTGTGGCAAGTTTGGTTGAAATTAGCCCAGTGGTTCTTAAGAAAAAGTCAAAAATTTGAAAAGTTTAAAGACAGATGGATGCCAGAAAAAATGTGAACAAAAAAGCTCAACTGAGCCTTCAGCTCCAGTGAGCTAAAAATTAGACAAAGGTACCACGACGTGGATGCCATAGCATATTAGCTCTTTGAGCCTTCAGCTAAAAATCCTGTCCCACTCATGAAATAAATTCCATATCTATTTAGTTCTTTCAATTTGCAACTTTTACCACATACATTTATTCAAAATGCAGTATTACACAATATAATATAATACATTTTTAATTTAGGACTAGGTCTTCAATAAATAGCAAATTGTCTTTTAGGATCTGAATATACATATACAAGGAAATACATGCAATGAAGTAGCAGAGATTCAGGACTATTTTTAGTAAATCTTCACATGAGTACAGGAATTATATCTAATGCATTCGATGAAGTAAACATGTAGATTTTGATTTTAATATCAGGTTCGTGCAATCTAAAAAAAATCCCCCCATCCTCCAAACATTTTTAACATATATACAAACATAACAAACATATGTAACATTTTTTAATTATGTGTGGTCCTTAATTGTTGCCTTTTATTAATAGATCTATTAAGAAATAAAATTTTTATCTTGGATAAGGTAGTCCTAAGTCAGAAGATTGAATAAGTAAAATTTAGCTCAGAAAATTTCTGGTACATAATTTACAATGAACAAATATTACATTCCTAACAGATTAGTTATAAATATGTTGAACTTGACTTTGAACTCAGTTCAATTAAATGCACACAAAGTCATATGGACTGCCAAAGTCATAGCAGTCCGAGTGTGTAACTGAAAATTTATACCCGTAATTTTTTTTCAATGAGAAATAGAAAAAAAGCTCATTCTTTAAGCAGACATTTCATATGATTACAGAATGTCTCTGGATTGGTGGATTTGTTGACAATATGCTACACATCTGTGTTTAACAAACACATACTTTCAAGAAAGAAGATGGATAAGTAGAAACTGATTCCATCACGAAACCATACAGATAGGCAACTAAAATTTGTTTTTAGCAAGTGGTCTCTTAACGAATTAATGATCGTGTACATGTAGGAATGGGTTATCTTTTGAGACATGGTTATTTTCTTTCAAGACATGGTTTCTTCTAATTGCTGAACTGTTTGGCAATTTGATCCAGTTGATTCATGAACTGTTCACATTCTTGAGGTGTTGCTCTAGACCAAGCAAGAGGTAAATGTGTTGCCACTGGGGTTCGGTCTGCAATATTAACAAGTGATCATTTTCTTACATATACATGTATTTTGTTTCATCCTTGTAATAAATGAAAGAGCAAGAGCCACGAACCATCAAAAATGGCCCTGTCTCAAAAAGTAACGGGGTTTTGTCAATTGATAGTGTAGACTTTTAGCTTTCCTTTGCCGTTTTTCTTTTTTGGATATCGATTATATTTTTTGAAAAAGAGAGTTTGAAGTATGACGGTGTTTTAAAAGAAAAATGCTAGTAGAATGTCATTTTTTGAAACGTAACGTCGTAGGGCGGAAAAATTACCTTGAGCGATTTTACATATGTGACTTTGAATTAAAACTAGTATTAATTGGGATAGACATTTATTATCTTACTAATAAACTTCATAATTAATTTAAGACAATTAAGGACAGTTGGAAATTGATTTCACATCGCAGTCTTGATGGCAACTGCGTGTTTAACTGATTGAAATTTATAGATACATGTACAGTAAAAATAATCTGTGTTACTGTCTCGGAAAGTTTTCACTCTACCTGGTCCTTATGCTAATATAATTTTTAAGAAGGAACATTGTATTTTTATCCCTTGAACACATTTTTGTGCGATGCATCGCTCCTAATTACATGTAAGTATTGAGTATTGAACATCATTAAAAAAAACATACGACTTGCTTCAAATGACGATAGCCTGTCCAACTTAGTTTTCCGGACTTTTTCCTACACGCCTGCAAATATGATCTTTGGAATGCGCGTCCAGGCACGAAGTTTGTTTTTCAAAGTGGGGAAGAGGGCAGTCAGAAAAAAAATAACGAGATACCTGAAATGATCTGAAAACGAATGTTTCTAAACTGAAGAACTACAATGTAATTCAATAACTGGATAGAAGTAATTGCAAAAAAAATTGTTTAAATGGAAATAGACTTTTAATGCGAAATTCTTAGATCCTGAACTTGCGAGTATTTTAACATATAAAAGTTCTAAATGATTTGGAAAAAGGGAGGAAGTAAAAAGTTGGAAGGACTTGTTTCTAATCCATTTATTCATTTGCAACAATATTTTGAACGTCGTTTTCGAAACAGAGACATAGATTTATTGAAAAGGGGTGTCGCAACTTATCAGAATGGTTAATTGAGCAAACAAAACTCATCAAAACATTGTCGCCCTAAATGTGAGTTTCTTTGGAATATTATGGAATACATTTCCAAAAAAATATTCTTAAGAGAGATAAACCTGTTAAAAATCACTAATTTAAGGCTAAAGCAGAAAATAAATCAGCCCTGTTCATTATTTTATATTTATCGATATTTGCTAGAACCCCCCCCCCCCTTTTCTTGCAAAATATTCGAATATTTCTCTCCCAAATATCTTAACTGCAAGGAATTTGTAAAGATAGAAATCTGCGAAAATTATATGATTATTTTTCATGTAAATGTACAAAATAATTAAACTTGAGCAAATATTCGTTTTTAGCATACGTAACTATAGTGTAAAATTCCTACTTTCAATTTCATTGCACATAATGGTTTTTATGGTTTATAAAAAGAGTAGAGCTGCATTTATATTGCTGATATGTGCAGGCCCGTAGAAAGCAGACTCATTTGGGGGGGGGGGGGGGGGGGGGGGGGGGGTGGCACAGCCAAACATTTTCAGTTGACAGCTGAGGAGGCACTACCAAAAATTTCCTGACAAGCAAAAAAAAAAAAAAAAAAAAAGATCATCAGACGTTTTTATTGAGGGGCACAAGCATATAGTATCTATGTTTATTATAGTAATCTATATATCGGCAAAATTATCACCCCCCTCCCAGTTCCTACGGCCATGATGTGGGTCACAGTCATAAGTGAAAGACATGTACGGGTGTTCATTTATCCTTGTCTTATTGTCCTGCAATCAGCGCAAGATTGATTTTTTTTCAACAAAATCTTGCTTAAAAAGGTCACACCCTCAGAAACAATAAGAGCTGTCCCTATATTTTCTTTTCAGTTTTCTTTATGAAATAGTTTTTGTACATAGTGGTGGCGCCGCACCAGGCACCCCTCCCCTTCTCACTGAGAAAAAAAAAATGAGAGGAGTAGGAAAGTATATAAAGCAATTTTCAATTTCTAGATTGATTTCTATTAATAAACAATAAAGAAATTTAAATTCAAGACAACTTATGGGATTAAACTTTAAATAATTACATTAATTGCAAGTTTTGCTGTCATTAGTTTGTGACCCCCCCCCCTTTTTTTCAACCTCAACTGGAAGTCTTGGACCTACCCCCCCCCCACCCCCCCCCCCGATAAGTCCTTTCTACATATCATGATACTAATAACTAATTAATACTGAGGAAGGAGGTACAAGTGTACTATACCAGAATAAGCTGACAATAGATTTAAAAAATATTATTATTTCATGTATTATAAAAAAAAAAATCTACTTCATTGGGTATAAAATAACCAGCTATAAACAACTTACGCCCATACGTTTCAAAGAATGTATTCTTGGTTTATTGTTTTGAGTTTTAAAAACATTTAAAGGAATCTTTCTCTCTCTCTCTTTCTCTCTCTATGAGTTTTCATGGTGCTGAATACTTAGATAAAACAAAACTGCATAGTTACAGTCGCAATGAAGAAATGGTGGCAGATAAAAAAAAAACTTAAGAGTAATTTATATGTAGTGTACTTTATTTTATTTATTTCTATTCTTTATTTTGTCTAAATAGATTTAAAACCACTACCCCCAACTATCTGACGATCAGAAGCATAAATTATTTATATTGTGATAGTAACAATAAAATATTTGGAGCACAGTAAAAGATACATAAACATTTTATACTGGATTTCTAAGACATACTCTGATATTTTTTTAGGCATTTTTGCTCACTGGGCTGTAACTAAATTATGTTTCACAAATGATGACAAAATCGCTTATGTGTTATATGTACACATGCATCATCAATATCCTCTCTTCGAATTTATTAAATGCAGACATACTGAAAAATATATATGCTTTTGAAGCAGGATGGAAATTCACCCTTTTGTGTTACATGCATAAGAATCATCTCAGAGGATTTTTTTAAATACAGTTATTATATCGATAGCTTATATATGCTGGTACAAAAGAATATAGTTATAGTATATATGTATGTGTGTATCGATATCGGGTTTCGTCAAAACACTTGCACTTGATGAACCCGCGCCCGTGACCTAGATTCTGTTTAGCCGAAATGTAGATGATTATCCAAATGCGTTTTTTTAATTCCTTTTTTTTTAATTTTCACTTTGCACAGCAAGCTATGTTTTTATTATTTTGTTTGTTTTACAGAGGTCTAGCGTGATATCTTTGCTACATTCTCTTTTAATTTGTTTACAATTTGAGTCATGTCTGTTAACACGCACAACATTATTAAACTTGTCACAAGAATATCAAAAATAAATAGCTCTTTGGTCAATATTTAGTAACGTAAGTCCTAGAGTACTGAATACCGGTTTTAGTGCCAAAAGTAAATTCAACAAACATCAAATAATTTCAAACTTGTAAACCACTAACTTAGTATCTGATATATGTAAATGGACTTTCAATCAATTACTCATTTAACCAGGTTTAAACCATTTCTATCTCTTCATATTAAACATAAGTTTTTTAAAAACATTACAAATCGAAACCTTTGTATCAAACAATTCTATTTCAAAATATTGTACAAAATATATGATTAGTGTATAATCCAAATAACTCAGTATTATTAAAGGTGTAATATCAACACATGACAATATCCCAGAATTTGCTGGATTGTTCAAGGGATATTATCCCATAATTCAATGCACACATACCTTGGAAGAAGAGACCACTGGGTTGTTTGAAGGCTGCCTCAGACAGGGCTAACCAGATCAGTGTGTCGGCTCCTTCCTCTGCTGTTCTTAAACGATTCTTCATCTTCTCATAAAAACTAGGCATTGCACTCCTCACAGCTACTCAAAATATAAGTATTCTATCAATTCTTTTTTAAGATATTCAATGTATAATGAAGGAATTTTGAATCATTTTAAACTAGTTAAATATGTATTGCTAAATAATGATGAAAGCAAAATGAACCAAATTCACATGACTGATAACATATTAGAAGCCGGCCATTTTGCACCTTAAACATTTTTCAAGAGTTATCTGCCCTTGATGAAAAGAAGAAAATCTTAATTTTGTCAAAATTCTTACATTTAGGACTCGGTAAAAATACATGTATTTATCCATGAAAGTGCATTGTCCCTGGCCAGCTTCATAATCATACCAGGTATAACAAGAAAGAGTTCAAGCATCTGCATTCTGACTGGATAATTGTTTTAATGATACAATGTACTTTCTTTTTTCAAGTTTCATGACATTTGATTGTAAATCAAGTAAATCTATATCAGAGAGTTCAGAGTACTGTACTCCCTTCACTGTTATTTCTTTTTACACATAAATATTAAAATGTAATATCTAGACTAGACACCATGCAAGGCAATTCTACAGTCTCGGTCATAAAAACCTTCAATTTCAAAATATTTTGATTTGATGCAATGCAATTGAGTCTCAAAAAACTTTCTCACCTGGTGTGTCTGCCCATCCTGGGTGCATGCTGGAGAAATGGATTTTGGGGTAGCGTTTAGCATACTCCTCTGTCATGACCACCTGTTGGCGTTTGTTCTGAGCATATGCTGTAGTGCCATCAAAAGGCTTCATTTTCTCAAATTGTAAGTCTTTCACGTCTAGCTTTTGAGTCAGCATTCCACCTGATGACACTATTATCTAAAAAAAAATTACATACATGTACATGTATATTTGATATACAATACATTTATATATTAGTTTTATATACTACTTGATAGCTAAATATATTGACAACACTTCTACATGTACATGCAATTTAGAGTACCTTGCTCACTGTGACAGATACACTTCTGAGCCCCATTTTATGAAAAAATTTTAACATAAGATAATATTAAGATTAGGACCGAAATTTTTAAATATATCAATACAACCAAAATAGTTCATGTATTCCTCAGTAGAGGGAACAAATTCATGATTCTTCAAATAATCAGAGTTATCAGACATACTTCTATTTATAAGGGTGGTGGACATTTTAAAATACCCAAAATAAGGAAAAATCATATAATTTATTCAAGACATGTAAGGTCCTAGCTTACTGTTGATTTCAGGATTGTAAAAAAAATGCATGATTCAATCTTTATAACTAAAATAGGAATACAATGCATGAGCATTTTTGCTCTGTTAAAAAGGGATATTAAGTCCATTTTATGTATTCATCTTTAAATGAGAAATTGTGCTTAATATTGCAGCTCAGGTGGCATGGACAATAGCCAATAAAACGCAAAGTTCTTATAATATCAATTTTCTGGACAGTGCCAATTTTGCTTTTAACTTCTGACCAAAAGATGTAGTATGTCATTTATCTTGCACACAGTCATCACATTATGAGCTTGATGACAATTACCATTACAGGAATGTAATATACACATAACTACTACAAAAGAACAAAAGGCATAACCAACACTGATTACATTAAAAAATCAGATTCAATTCTCCCTGTGAACATGATTCAAATTTAATGCATGGAAAATTAGGTTTAAATTACAGTCAAACTATGTTATCTTGAACTGATGGGACTTGGGAAATAAACTTTGATATATCGGAGGATTTGAGATAGTGAGGTTGAAATACATAAAGAAAAGGTCAAGCTGAGACTTCAACCTCATTTAGACACATTCAGAATATTCAAGTTATCAAGGTTCAGGATACTGAACTTTAACTGTATACTGGTAAATTTTGAATAGGGGCATAAAAGGATCCTCAAAGGATAATATTAGTTATCCTGGTCCAATCAAGGGTATACAGGGATTTACCCCAGGTTTTATTCCATACCCCCTGAGGCTGAAGGCCAAAGGCTGTATGGAATACAACCCGGAGTAAATTCCTGTACACCCTTGTTTGGATATAGATAAAGAATTTATTTCCTATGTAAGCAAATTACTTCAGTGTAAATTCATGTCTGATCGATGGGGTTTCAAACTGTCGATAAGATTTACATGTACTTCTTGCTTCACTGCATTGTGATATCATGTTATTTGCAATTTGTGATGGAGAAACTATGCATTGTGATGTCACATTATTTACCCCGGCTCAAGCCACGTGTACAGAAATTTACATCCGGCTCACTAACCAATCAAATCTTGTGTTAAATAAAGATAACTGCCCTGATTGAGAGATAAGTTGATCATAAAAATGAAAGAAAACTTCCAAAAAAAGCAGCTTACCACCCTTGGTTTGTCTCTTTCTGACAACAGTGGTATCAGTTCTGTAGTGAGTACATGTGTTCCTAAAAATAGATGAATTAAAAATGTCAGTTTTCCAAACAGTGAGAGAGAAGCATGCAAGTCTTTTGTTCTTTAGGAACCTAGATGATAAATGTAATATTTCATTTAATTATCAGTCTAATTTCTAGTGTAGATACAAATCTAATTACCAAGAGTATTTGTGGCAAAATTCTTTTCTAACCCATCCTCAGTTACTTCCCTTGTGTTTACCATGCATCCAGCATTGTTAATCTGTAAAGAACAAGTCTCAGTAAAGCTTATCTGTGGTCCCCGGTTACTCGTCAAATTTCGAACATTTATTAACATTTTTAAAAATTAAATTTTATTATTAACTAATGTCTTTATTATTTGAATCATCATCTAAAAATGTCAAACAATAGATATAGGCAGCATACGAAGCTGCGCGTTGAAGGTAAGGTCCTTTGATTTTCATGAATATCAAAAGAAATCAGTGACAGGTACACACTTCAAAGCTTTCGTAAACACCGAGCACAGGTTTGTTCAGAGTCGAGTTTGAAATATAATGTGCATATTACATGTGTAAAGGTTGAGTGAAAATATCTTTGTTGAACAACCTTGTGCTCTATGTTTTTTAATTAAAAGTATTGTGATTTTGAATCTCTTCGCTGACTTCATTTACATGCGATTAACCTCTTTATGACCTGTTTAGAATCATAACAAGCCACGTGGATTCGTATCGTTACGGGTAAATGCCCCCAGTAATCGTGCTAGTTCTCAGTTGAAACGTACTCAGTTTTATATCGATCAGCATGAACTTGTTTGGTTAATCTTGTTATAGCATTTTTTGCCAAAGTTCTGTTAATAGAAAATTGTATATGTAGTTGATTGTGAATCTTGAACATATTATTCGTCTTTGAAAAAAAATATCATACCAAGATATTCTTTTTATAGTATCTAATATAAATGTCTCCGCCCATTTCCATGTAATAGAGAAACCGTAGTCTGATCGGGGGAAAATGTTCCGGCATTTTTTAGTGCGATAGGTGTTAAAAATAGGCTTGTGTTTTTTGAAATGTTTGATTATTCATTGTAAATACACAATGTTTTAATTAGAAATACTTCGCTATACACAATGAAAACAAACTAAATACTGTATGCTAATATTTAACCGGTAAACCAAGGATGTAAAAAGGGACCACACTACTATACTTAAGTAGAATACTCCTTTATCACATCAGATGTTTAAAAAAATATTTGAACTACAACTTTCATGTCTGTCCATTGAAAAATGCTGACAGAATGCTTAATAATGATAACTTTATTTGCTCTATATAATTACTAATGTTAAAAGTGATCGACTTACCAAAACATCAAGGACTTTTCCAGATTCCCTAAAATTCTTGACAAAGTTGAAAATATCTCTGGGTTTTGACATATCCAGTTGATGTAAGTGAACATCCTGTCAGCAAAATCAAACAGAGTAAACACTGAGTAAAAGTAGGACAATGGAGATTCATAAAATGTCGGATAACTCAGTTAAGCTAAACAAAGCTTAACTGATAGTTACTTCTATTATCCATGGTTGTTTTTTTTTTTAATAATGGGTTTCTAGAATTTTTATCTTGCATGGTATTTTTTTTATAATTCACATTTTTTTTTTCAAATGAGGTCTATTTCAACTTATGCTGTTTGAAAAACTTGAATATGCTATACAATTTTTGATATATCAATAAACTTTTTATTTTTTTTTAAATTGTACGTCTTATTCACTTATAAATCACCATCCTAATGGCAGTTTTTTTTTTCTATACTTATTGACTTCTTCATTTGTTTCTTATCTTGGATAGATGAAAACTTACAAGTGCCTGGTGTTACATGTATGTCTATGATATCTGGTTATTTACATGTACCTGGTTTCCTGTCTTTGATACCTGGTAATTTACAAGTGCTTGGTTTTCTGTCTATGATAACTAGTAATTTATATGTAACTGGTTACCTGTCTTTGATACCTGGTAACTTATTTACATGTACCTGGTTCCATGTCTATGATATCTGGTAACTTCCATGTGCTTGGTTTTCTTTCTATGATATCTGATAACTTACATGTACCTGATTCCCTGTCTATTATACCTGTCCTGGTATCTAACATGTGCCTGAATTGATGTCTATGAGATCTGATAGCTTACATGTGCCTGGTGAACTATGATATCTGGTAACTAATACATGTACCTGGTTTCCTTTTAATACCTGGCCCCAAGACCATAAACTGAGAACTGACTTAAGTCAAAATTTTGATTTTTAATATCTTGAGTTTTATTAAATGTATTTGCTTAAAAATTTGCAATGTTGTGTAATATTTCAATTCAAATACATGATGAAAATTTTGTTTTAATATCAAAATTATTTCAAAAGTTATAATAGTTTGAAATTTTGACTTCAGTCTGTTCTCAGTTTATGGTCTTGGGGCCTGGTAACTTATTTACATATATCTGGTTCCCTGTCTATGATACCTGGTAACATACATGTGATTGGTTTTCTTTCTAAGATACCTAGAACATTACATGTACCTGGTTTCCTATTTATGATATCTGGTTTTCTGTCAATGATACCTGGCTTCGGGGTGTTGCTAAAATGTGGAACGGAAAGCGGAAAGGAACGGAAAATGGAAAATATGATTCCAGGTTAAATCACTTAAAATATAATAATCATACCAGAAACAGTATGCATCATATAAATATTTCATATTTAATCCTTAATTATTAAGATAAGATTTGATTTAGTCATGTTGATTCTCTTATTTCATGAAGATCTCTGAACATAGACAAAGGGTACGGAAAACGGAACAGAAAATATCTAATGTCGTACATATGTACATGTAATATGTTGTGGTAAAATATGGATGAGTGGGAAAACTTTATTGAAGAACACTCTGAACAATATGAACAGCAGGTTTTCGTTTCTGAGCGAACAATTCCATAATTTCAATGCATATGTACCCATGCATCTTAAGCGAAGATAACATACATCTCTGCAACCCTCCCCCACCCACTCACCCATTACTAAAATATAAAAAACAACTCTAAATTTTCTCAAAAATATGTAATTTCCCCCATCCATCTTTACGTTATTCTGTGCAATCAGTTTGCGCTGTTTTGAACAATATAGTCATGTACATATATGCTATCTTTCTTAAATCTCTGTTTCAGATCCCGGTGGAATGCATCAACATTCCTGTAGTTGTGATAAACTTTTTTAAAATTGTTTCCTTAATGCCAGTGATCATTGTATCTATAACACAAATTTATATATACTCTGTCTCTTTCTCTCCGCCTGTTTCAAAACAACATTGCCCCTTTCATAATCAATATGATGATTTTGTCTTTGACGAATAAGCCATTTTTAAAATTCAGATTTGGATGAGTATTAAATGAGACATCCTGGGATGTGAGTCTAATAAATGTGTGTTTTATTGACCATTGCATGGATATGCCACATGTTTTGTGGGAAAAAATCATGAATAAATCACATTGTTACGATAACTTTTAATTAGATCTGAACTACATGTATTAGATAAAGAATATTGCTTCCTATGTCTGATTTATACCTGTGCATAATAAAAAACTTGAGATCAAATTTTCCGTTTTCCATTCCGCATTTTAGTTTCCTGGTTTCCTGTCTAAGATAACTGGTAACTTACGATATGCACCGGGTATCTGGTTTGCTGTCTATAATAACTGATAACTTTCACCTGGTTTGTGTTGTATGATAACTGGTACCTTACATGTATCTGATTTCCTTTCTATGATATCTGATAACTTACATGTAGCATACTCAATATCCTGTCTATGATAACATACATGTACCTGATTTGCTGTCGACGATACCTTGTTACCATTTTATACCTAGTTTTCTGTCTATGATAACTGGACCCTGAATTGCATCCTTGATAACTACATGTAGTAGCTTTCAGGTATTATATTTTCTGTCTATGATAGCTTGTACCTTACATGTACATGTACCATACGCAGTTTCCTGTCTATGATGACTTACCTGTTTCTGGTTTCCTGTCTAATCTAGTTATCAGGTATTCTGTCTGTGTAATGATTTCCTGCCTTATTTTAGATACCTTGTACTTGATCAGGAGCGTCGGCAAGTATTTCACATTGGGGAGGCGAACTGGATAGAAAAGGGGGATCCTAACTAACTTTTTGCAACATAAACTAAATATTTAAAATTTCTGCAAAAATCTTGATATTTTTCCCTTTAAGTCAATATCTTAGAGGTATATCCTGATTTAAAAAAAAAAATTAAATATGCAACAACAACCAAAAAAATGCTTTATGTGTTTTAAGTTACATATACTATAAATAAAACAAAACTGGGTCATTTTTAAATAGCTAGGAGATTGTTTGTTTAATCTTTTTTTCCAAAAAGGCATAGAAAGAACTTTGAAGGGTTTATGACGAGGTAAAGATTAAAATACATATAATTTTCTATTATTGTGTAATATTTATTGTTACTTGACGAAAGAATGGGTAAGTATGAAATTTAAAATAAACAGTTTTGAAATGCAGAATTATGTATGACATTATTAAAAAAATCAACTGAAGTTGTTAAAATAGTAATTTTACCCAGTATTTTAGTATTTTGCTTTAATATAATAGCTTGCTACTTCGATTCATTAAAGATTTCCTAACACTGATCGACCAATTGATTAGACAATGAACAGGGCTGCTTATAATACTCAAGGGAAGGTGTCAGGAAGGGGGGGCTCCAATTTTATCCCACTTTCTCCACTTTTTTTCTGAGAATAGTCTATTTGCTTAAGTTTGATATTATGTAAAAATTCATCCATTTAGACCCTGCTTGTCCCCCTCTCCCCCTTTCCTATACACTTTTTGTTGAACTCAGGCAAATTCTAGCATTTGAAAAGAAAAAAATTAGAGAACCCCCACCCCGCCTCCAAAACAGAGAATTTCCAAAAATGTTGCTAGCTGTGGGCCTGAACAAGAATTCGTAGCAAACTTGCACATGTTGCAAGTAGCGATGGATACCATGCTCATTGTTTAAACAGGTACCGGTGCCAGGTACAGGTACATTCATACCTCCCAATTTGCGTCTTTGTAAACAAACAATAGCTTTCACTCTTTGCCGCTCCATTGACCACAGATTGCCATTATTCTTGCCGCTCCATCTGTATTTCTCATTTTGAATCCATTTTTCTTCTTCTTTTTTTTTTGGCAAATATTATTGGGGCAGCGACTGCCGCCCCTGCTGCCCCTTTGCGGATGCCCCTGTTGATTACTAAGAGTCCTATATATATGATGCTGTGTCATGTACCTGTACTGCACCTGTATAGTTACCTAATTAGTTAATTGGTTAATTACCTGATTTCCTGTCTGTGTGATGATTTCTTGTCTTGCCTCTTCTCCTCTTGTAACATCCCTACACACCATATGCACAGTGCCACCTTCAAGTATCACAGGTAACCTTTGATCATTTTGATATACAGAGTACATAAAACTAGGTGCATTTTACGTGACAAACATGTATTTTTTTCTAACATAGTTTAAGAACCATTTGGCAAAAAACATGCTGCCTTTTATGTAGCTACATGTACCTATCAGGGTTGTCCCTAAGAACCTGAAATAGCAGGGGACATTAAAAAAGTAGAAGGGGGGTTGGGGTTCCTCCCTTAACAGGGGGAATACTAGATTAACTGGGAGATTACAACATTAAAGGCAGAGAAATTCCCCCAGGTCTTAGGGCAACCCTGACCTATAATCACAAGCACAGGCACTTGAGGCATGTAATCCCCCTCTTTTATGATTTTTTTAGTATCAGTCAAAAAAGACAATGTTTGTGAATATCTCTAAGACACATAAAGACTATATTTCTGCAAACAATTATATAATGCATAATAGAAAGCATAAAGCATGTATGAGAAAAAAGTGTGTTGTTGATCCCAGTATGAAAACAAAATCAAAGAGGGGAGGGAGTCCATAACACAAGTACCAGCCTTTTGTGCATATACCGTTTACAAGTGCTTATAATTTCTTAACAAACCAAATGCCCAAATTAATATATACATTTAAAACTTAACTGTCTTTCTTCTATTCTTTCAAATCTACAATGTCTTTTAACATTTTGATGTGTATAGCATGTGCAAGTTCACAGTTGTCTACCACGTTCATTGTACTCTACCTTTCTGTGCAATGGCAATGGCTGCACATTTTCCTATTCCACTGTTTGCACCTGTTATCATGAAGCTTCTGCCACTAGCATTGACATCAATATCGGCATTATTGAAATTCTTGCAAGCTGCCTGAAATCCACTCCTATAAAAGTTATAACATGTACAGTAAAAGCGTGCAGTAACTATTTGGGCACTGTATACAGGTGTATGTATTTACACGGCTTCATCATATAAATCGAACGATTCAAAATCTACACAATTGCATTGCCCATGAATATGAATTGTATATTTCATACAATACGCTTTTCCTCTATCCGTCGTTTACTCACTTGGTATATTCCCTCAGGCCCTTTACAAACCACACCCCAGACCGGTAAATTGACATTCTTGTACAGACCTTGTGTACAACAGCTGTACAATACGGCAATACGCAGTACTGTAATATCAGCTAGCTTGACAAATCTTTTTTGCCAAATGAAACAAAAATACAGTTCAAATTTTTTACTCTTTTCCAAAATTGACGCTCTTTCTTTATTTTTCACAGTGACATAACGTAAAATTATTGATAAATCCCGAGTAAATTCGAGTTTTCTCGTGATTTGGTTATGCAACGCCTGGTAACTTTTTTTCTGTAGTTCGATCCCGATTAGAATTGTGATGCAGATGTATTGAGGTCGGAAAATCTTCTTCCACAATGATTCTTCTGAAGAGCCCTAGAATTTACAGTTGTAATACTACTCCTGTGTAGACAGTGTTTAAAAAAGATAAATCATAAAATGATATAATGTAATAAGCAGAGTGTTTATGAGACGGTGGTCGGAAGATAGAACGATCCGTAGGGGCTTGTCAAAATAAATTTTAATTTTTTTTAATCTACTTTAAATACACTTAAAAGTTGTTAAAATAAAGATTCTGACACTTTCAGTCAAGAATAACCAAGTTTAAAAAAGACGTAAAACACCTATATACATAAACTGTAAACCAATGACAATTCTAGGATTATAAAAATTGATATGTCTCCTGAAACCTCACAATCACTAGAGTGTTTATTATTTCAGTCCATACCGCAAAGACTTCTTTCCACAACTTGTTTTTCAAATTCTTCATGATATTTTTAACATATTCAGTGCCACGTGTTGATAATTTAATCAAATCCATATTAGATAAGAAAAAAAAATGTAAACCTTTTTTCCGAGAAGACGAGCTGTCTCATCCAAAATGATTTAAGTGCTGCAAGGAAAACTCTAAAATTTACAATTTTTAGTCCACCTTCTTCAATATTTTTTTTTACTAGGACACCTTTCCCTACTCTGTGATGAGGATCATTCCATACAAATGAAAAAATTCAAGTTCCTTCAAAAAGTTTTTGGTGGGTTAAGAATAGCCTCTAGTATATGATTAAAAGAGGTAGAACCACTTAAGTTTGTACTCATATATAGATCAGGACTTTATACTTCTTGGCTAAATTTTTAGGAACCAATGGAAACTGCATGGGATTCTGAACAATTGATGTATAAGCCAGACTTTCTGAGAATTTGTTTAAAGTTTTCGTCACTTCTGTCAGTGATTCTTTGCTACCATCTAACAAAATTGAAGTATCATCTACTAATTGTGATATTTTCTTTTTCATGTTCTTTAAAGTGATTCCCTTGACTTTTTATTTTTTTTCTTATCAGAATTGCTAAAATGTCTGCACACAGTATAAAGAGTACAGTGAGAGATGATCCCCTTGCCTGCAGCCTCTCTGAATATTGATAATTTGTGAGAAGTTTCCACCACATTTCAAACTGAAGTCCATACCTTGTATTTCTTACAAATATACATCAACTACTAGTATTGCTTAAAAACTTTTTAATTACAAAAAAAAAAGAAAAAAAAAATCTACAGTGCCTACATATCGAACATCTGATATGAAACATAATCCTCCAACGTGTTCATGTTCTTCTTCACCTTACAACTATGGTCCTTCTGGACACGTCATTACTGGTGACGTAATTATAGTTAATGATGAGGACCTTAAATCATTTGTTTTAAAAGGTCTAAAATCTAGGAACCCCGATCTTTCAACTGGTGTATAATAATTTCATAAATGTTATGAAACCTGTGGAAGATTACGCCAGGTGATGGGCCAAACCTTCACACTTATAGTCAGAATGGATTAAACGTATCAGATGGATGTTGAAATCTCACATGAAGCGATTGAGGGGCAACATGAAAACAATCAATCCTTCTAATTTTAATAATTCAGAAGTAAAAAAAAAGAATAAGGTAGATTACACGATTATAATATGTATGTACCGGTCCCAGCTGACAAAGTAGGTAACAGCATTGTCTTTGTTTTTAAGGGTCATTATTTTTATTGTATTTTACCGGGATTTAATTCCTGCAAATGGTAATCTAACTTATACCCATAGCTCCCTTTCAAAGGAGGAAATTCTACAAAATCATATGTCAGTTTTAATTATTTTTAATATTCCCAACAATCAAAATGAATTTGAATTACCATACCTATACTGAATTCCTAAATTATTTTGTTAAAAACATTCTGATTATACACACAAGTACTCTGAAGTATGTATTAAAAAAGATGCTTGAGTTTCTGATTGACAATATCTATGTAGTTTTTGGAGATCGGGTCCTCCAACAATCTGTCGGAATACTCATGGGTACCAATTGCGCCCTATTATTAGCAGACCTATTTTTGTATTCATATGAAGCAGAATTTATTCAAAAACTTATACAGAAGAAGAAGAAGACACTTGCTGTGGTATTCAACTCGACATTTAGATATATCGACGACGTATTATCAATTAACAATCGTTACTTCCATTCATATATCGATTCGAGATATCTCAATGAACTTGAAATAAAAGATATCACAGAGTCTGACACATCTATTTCATATTTGGATATTTTACTAGAAAAAGACGTTAATGCTAGCATAATAACAAATCTTTATGATAAACGTGATGACTTAAACTTTTCTATCGTCAACTTCCCCCTTATCACTGTATATGGGATTTATGTCTCCCAGTTGATTCGATACGCAAGAGCATGCTCCACGTACGAACAATTTCTAAAACGAGGCAAGCTATTGACAAACAAGTTGATGAAACAAGGATACCAACGGTCTCGTTTAAAATCATCATTTCGCAAGTTCTATGGTCGATACAATTTCCTTGTCAGCAAATACAATCTATCATGAAGTCGAATGCTGACTGACGTTTTTCATACTTACATGTATTGTTAGGCCATTATTTAAACACTGAATTGTCTACGGATTTTTCCGTTTACCCGATCATGAAAATGAGCACACAGCGGGTGTGACCGGTCAACAGTGATGCTTACTCCTCCATGGTACCTGATCCCACCTCTCATGTTTTTAGGGCCCATATATCATTTCATTCATTGTGGAACTTATATTATTATAAAACAATTTCACCCATTTTTGTATTGAAGACCAAAATTGAAAAATCGTAGGGATATGTGAAAGAATTTCCATGAAATGTGTATTTTCTCCTATATACCTACTTGAATTTACCTATATTGGAAATAAATCCCTTTGATCACTATTGATTAGTTTATCGAGGTTTATTTTTATTCTGTTAGCAGTAGTACCTGATGCAATTTCGTACACAGTATTTGAAAGTGTTATTTGACGCCAGTTTTTGAGAGACTGTCTTGGCTTATCGCCCTTTGGTAAAAGTGTTACTATACCATGTCTTTGTGTAATACAGGGGAGATTATTCTCATATGTTATAATTAATTGATCTGACAACAAAATGTCCAAGGTATTTCCAAAAGACTTTGAAAAATTACGTTGAAAAACCATCAGAACCTGGTGATTTGTTTGATTTCATTCTGGAAAGAGTGCTAGAAGCCTCTTGTAAAGTAATAAAGCCTTCTAATTCTTCAGCTTCTGCATTAGTTAACTTTGGAGTATCCTCAATTTTTAGAGTGTTTTTTGCATATGTATACCGTTGAAGGTTCTAAAAAGATTCTGAAAGAATTTCCCGTTAAATTTTGCTATATACACTTTAAAACCATTTCTATGGCAGATTCGTGGATCATGATTTAAGGACCCTCTATATACACCGATGAAAAAATAAATGTTTTTCGACTTTGAAAAAAATATATAGAATTTTATAGCGTAAAGGAGTACACATTAAAATTATCTGGTTCATTTTTGATGTAGGGTGCGTGCCTTTTTTACCCAGGAAAAAATCTTCAAAGACAAGAAAGTAATGATAAAGTCTTAAGAAAAACTTTGTTTGCTTACTCAAAAGGAGAAAATACATGCAAATTAAGTTTTCAATTACTCTATCTTGGTTTCATATAATGTTTAGAATACTTTAATTACAAATTATGTAATACAGCGCAGATTGCAAATTATTGTCATCTCTCTCGAGAGATGACATATTAAGTTTGTAACCCCGGATATGAAGCCCCAGTGTAAGCTGCCATTGATAAGCTGGTGGTCTGGCAAATGACACGATTTCTAAATATAGAGATGTAAACAAAACTGCTCAAGATAAAGAATGGGCGATCTGTCAAACAGGCCATCTTAAAAAAGCAAAGAAAAATTACACATAAATCAAAGAGAGTCACAGAGACAGTATCGCTTGGGTAGTGGTGGGTCTTCAAAATACATGCAGTTATCTAATCATGGTCAGCGCGTGTGTATCAGACATTCGGAAAATCTCGGCTGATTCCGTCACCTTCATCAATTGATGAGGTACGAATCGGCCGAGTGGTGTATCAGAATACACTAAACATGGCATCTATTAGAACGACCAAGGCGTGGATCAAAGTATTTACAGAAAAACAAAGTGGCGGGTCTTCAAATAACATCCAGTTATCTAGGCTGTTACGTAAATGATGGCCAGTGCGTGTGTATCAAAGTACACATTACATGGCATCGATTAGATCAGCCAAGGCGTGGATCCAAGAATTTAAAGAAAAACAAAATCAAAGTAAATACTCGCATTAAAAGTTTAAATTCGACTGATGTGAATTGATGTCGAAAATTTTACCTTTATGTGTATCTTAGTCATTCAATAACCTGATGCCATTTTTAATTTTTTTTTTTTTTTAAACAAATAGTTATATTGTTAAAACTACAGGCATTGGAAGAAAGATTACAGGCGCGTAGCTGCCTATACGCAAGTGCGTACACATCATTTTCAGAAAAAAAGATAAGAAAAAAGAGAGAATTTTTCGGAGAAAAAAATCTCAATATCATCCAACAAATATTCGTAAATTTTAAATTATCATGGCTCTATGATAAAATTTGAAATCCTTTATTTAATCATTCATTATTTTGTCATTGTTCTATCATACATTGATATTTTTTTTAAAGATCTTTGAAAAAATAAATTTCAGCCACATCGTTGAATGCTATGATCTACTAGTATGATTTAAAATACGATATTTTTTGTTCATAATTAAAATTTTGTATACGTGTTTTTAAACGTTAAGAATGAT